GCGACGTGGGAAGGGAGTACTCGATGCTAAGACGAACCTCTTCATTCGGCCGAACTTGTGGCCAGGAAATCGAAGGTCGTATTAAAACAAAACATGGCCACTGATAGCGGCGAACAAAGCGTCAGCCATCAATCAACAGACAAGCGGTGAAATGAGGCTGCATTTAAACACGTGTCATCGAATATTCAAGCGTTGTCGCTAGCGGCCACGTTCATTCAAGAATAATCGGTAATGTTCGCGAAGTGGGCATGATTTTAAACCAATGACCTACAACAGTCGCGAAGCTTCTGCAACACTGAAGATGTGGTTTGCGCTGATAATTACATGCAGTGTACCGGGATCGTAGCAAAACTCAAGGAAGCAACGTGGCATTATTCTTCAAAATAAAAAACGTCGACCCAAAGTAGAAAGTAGCAACACAAGAAAATCATCAATGGACATACTGCATTCATTCGCGAACAAAAATTCATTTTGTTTGTTACACAGTGCACTAACTTGACAGTAGTGGGTCATGCAATATGTTATACTACATATCTTGTAAATCTAGGTCAAAGAAACTGCTTTTTTTTTAATTAAAAGTGGTTAAATATCAAACTAACGCCTCAGAGGTTTGAAGAACAAAATGTTCAACACCTTAAATGTCTTTGATTTTGAGTGATTCTGAGGGAACGTTGACGCGAATAATTGCCATGCGTCTCTTTCGGACAACTTAGCCTGGAATAGGCAGCCATTTTCTTAGATGTGATGCAGCTCTTTAACTAGCTTGTGTAACACTGTCACTCTGTCCGCACTGCGCTTCCCTGGCTGCAGTTGTCGGGGCGCTGCCGAGTAGGTCAGGTCTTCGCTCGCAATGTACGCCTGTTGATGTTACTCTCTCCCGACCCTGTCGCCGCTCGCTGCGTGTCATCTCCCTCGCTTCACCCTCTCCACCGCTCACAACGTTCGAACCCACTCCTCACGTGGGCATCATCTGACCTGCGCCACCTCTTGCCATCTGTCGGCGAGAAGCCACGAGCTGAAGAGGTGCGCGCTGCGCGCGTCTCGAGAGTTTCGCGGCACCGACTATGGGGAGAGCGCGCTGCTGCTTGCATCGCGATTGCGCTGATGGGTGGCACGCCATCGCGGCATGCTTCCTGCTAGTGTGCACGTACGTTTCTCGGCTGTCACTGGTGTTGTGAAGGTTAGTGAAGCCGGTGGCGTTTGCGAATAGTGATGTCATCACCGACGAGGCGCAAGCTTGGGAAGCCGAATGCAAGCGCCGGTAGTAAAAGAGCAGCAACACCGATTAGGTGAGGATCAAGAACACCAATCGCGTTCAAGAATACAGACGGCGCGTGGGTAACACCGATGAGCCGCGAGCCATGGAAGCCGAGCGCGAGCGTCTTCAACACGTCCCCCCTTCCGTGGTTGTACGTTTCAAACAAATGTTTACTCGGGTAAATGGTACACTGAATTTCGCTTCAAACTGTTATTCCAGCACCCGCTTCGACGTCCGTTACAACCGAGTCAACGCTGTGCGCACCCCTCCTGCTTCGCATCCCCTCAGTGTCCCCTTCAGGGAGATGTTGCATAGTTTTATTCTTGGCTGCTAACGATAACTCAAAATGGAAGCTATCAGCGCATTTACTGCTGATGCAAGTCGTTCCAAAGCAATCTTTTCTTAAAGTGACAACGTTGGGTCATCATTTTCTCGTTTGAGTAAATACCTACTAAATACTTTTCTGCAGCTTGTAGTGTCTTCTTGAAATAGCCATTTTGGTATGGCCACTAAACACCCTTGTTTGTCTGAAGAAATAAACAGTAGGTTGTTTTTTCCACCCTAGGTAACGAAAGCTCTTATATAATGCTAATTTCTCTCGCCAGGTTCTAGACCGCCTGTTGACTCATTAAATTATGAATTGTGTGGGATTTTCATCATGAGAAAAAATACCCAGAAATAAACTGTACAAGCATTTTATATTGCCAAAACAAGACCGCTGCATCGTTTCGCTCAGCTGAGCCTGAGTCGCTCCTAGGTGAATAAACCCAATAGAGCTAACTACCTAGCATTAGTACATTATCAGTTTCATTGAATCACTAGGAAGCCACTTCTTTGAAAAAAAATTACTGAAGTCATGGTGTATTATGCTCTCATTCAAGTTGTCTAATTCGCTTTGAAGTGCTTGTAGGTTTCAATAGTTCATCTTGCGGATACTTTCGGATATGTGGGGTTTAACGTCCCAAAACCACCATATGAATATGAGAGACGCCGTAGTGGAGCGCTTCGGAAATTTCGACTACCTGGGGTTCTTTAACGTGCACTCATATCTGAGCACACTGGCCTACAACATTTCCGCCTCCGTCGGAAATGCAGCCGCAGCAGCCTGGATTCGATCCCGCGACCTGCGAGTCAGCAGCCGAGTACCTTAACTACTAGACCACCGCGGCGGGTTCTTGCGGGTACTTTGAACTGTGTATTATTTCTTAAGTGTGTGTGCTACACAAGCCTCATTTGAATCGCTTGAGTGTCTGCAGAAGTTAGACTTTTGAACTAGAGTACTAAAATTGTAAGTTTACTTTGAATGCGACGCCTGTATTTGCATACTGCTGGCACTTTGAGGATCTATCTCTCTATCTATAGAGTGGCCTTCGGCTGGGTGCTCTCGTGTTACACCCCCTTAACGAGGGGTAATCAAAATTTAGTATGAGAAGGCAAGAGTTTGGCGAATATGACTGGCCGGTGATGACATGAATGTTGCCACAGTTCCATCACGTACGTCATGAAAAATTTTACGCCAGACGAGTGACACAAGACCGCGGGAGGGTATATGCATCAGGTGATTGACAGTTTTTATCAATACCAGGAACGACGAGAACAAACAAGGCTACTTTTAATGCTTTACTGTTAAAAAAGCTGACATGCGCAGCGTTGACCAGACGAGTATAAAGAATAAATGTCAAGGTTGCAGCAAGAATTACGTTTCAGTATTCTGCGTAGCAATCAAGCATTCTACCTCAGAGCAAAGCCAGGGCTCGAAACCACTTTTCAAATAGAGCGTTTTTCAAACGACAGTTGTGGCTGCAGCGTTGGCTATACAATTTTATAATTATTACACATGCTTTTTTATGACGCAGCCATGACGTCGGGTAAACGTCACTTGTAGTTTGGCGCCATCCGCTGATGGTGATTTATGTAGCAGTGTCAATGGTTACCACTTTTGCGAGCTCCAGCACTTCTTATCGTCTTACTGCTTCTGGTGTTGGTCATATCTATGCTGTGCAATTGTAAACAACAGGTTGGTTGAGTTATTGTTATGTGAGGTTTCACGTCCCGAAACGACCACATAATTATGAGAAACGCCATAATTGAAGGCTCCGGCATTTTGATCATCTGGGGCTCTTTAACGTGCTCCCAATTGTGCTCCCAAACGTGCTCCCAGCACACAGGCCTGCAGGATTTCCGCCTCCATAAAAAGTGTAGCCGCCCCAGCTGGAATTCGATCCTACGACCTGCGGGTCAGAAGCAGACTGTTTTAGCCACTAGACCACTGCGTCGAGGCTGTAACAACAACTTGCGTATGCGACTGTTTAACCTTTGTGGGCGTTCGCATTTGTACCTCAACCAATAATTTTAGAAGAAGACGTATATTTACAGGTGGAGATAGCCGGCACCTTAGCGTGCTACAGTGAGTTTATTCACACTTCGTAGTTTTGTCTCCCAGATAGATTTTCTTATGCCACAAAACAACTTCTGCCATTTGACAATATTTTTAGCGTCACTTCACTGAACACAAAATATTTTGTCACTTTTCATTCGCATTCTTCCCATAATGTCGATTCGCAAGGTGCGTAGGACCTCCCAATTTTCAAAAATGCATCTATTGTTATATAACTTCAATGTGAAACTTCGTTGCTTGACAAGTTTATTTTGATTGCTTTGTCGCTCGAGTCTGCATAGGGGCATATATCTGACGTGTTTGTTTTACTAAAATAAATTTTCTTGCGAATGAAGTGAGTGTCGTGTCCTTCTTGTATCTGCTTGTATCCTTGTTAAAAAGTGCGCTACTTAAGCTTTCGTCATAATGATCAATCACCAACACGCCCAACACAAAACCTTATAAGTTTTCTTATTAAGGCTTTACCATCCGACATTGCTCTTTCAAACGTATGCTCGGCTATCTGAACCTGCGATTCCGTGAGCATTTCAAAGTACACGCCAAAAATATTTCTCGCACCTGCGTACGCACAAGTTCACAATCAACCTTTGTAGATTTCCACTCTCGTTGCCCACATGCAGAGACCTTGACGGGTTCGCTTATCAACGAGCTTCATTGTGGTAACCCTGTGTACCTCGCAGTGAACCAGCACCAGCGAAAATGACCAATGATGCGTCGTATGGTGATGCGTACCAGAAAAATAAGAATTGAGAATAATATTATCAGGCGTTTTGCGTCAAAAACTTCTATCGGAGTACAGAGACTACGTATATAGTGAACGGCTTCAGAAATCTTGACCACCTGGTCTCTTTTTACCGTACGCCGACACCGCATAGCACACGGGCTGCTATTATTTTAACTCCACCGAAATGCTACGGCCGTGTCTGAAGTCCAACCTACGACTCTCAGGGCAGCAGCCGAACACCGTAGCCACTGATCCATCGTGGTGGGCGTGACATGAGGAGGTGCGAAACATGTTCCATATATGATACATTTGATTGATTTGATTGATTTATTGATTGATATGTGAAGTTTAACGTCCAAAAACCACTATATGATTATGAGAGACGCCGTAGTGGAGGGCTCCGGAAATTTCGACCACCTGGGGTTCCTTAACGTGCACCCGAATCTCAGAACACGGGCCTACAACATTACCGCCTCCATCGAAAATGAAAAATATGATACATATATCTTAATGTTGGTGAGTAGGCAATTTTGTCTTGAATGCACGGGATAGCGAAGTAGTGGTATTGCAATACACCACGCAAGGAATTATACCACTTAGCATATGACATGCTTACGCAGGTTTCCTGATGACATCGACCTTTTCGCTGCTGGTGTTAACGAGCGCCCCGTACCTGGTGCAGCGCTCGGCCCCACATTCGCCTGCACAATAGCCGAGCAATTCCGGAGAATGAAAAATGGCGACCGCTTTTGGTACGAAAACGGAGGTCTTGAGTCGTCACTCAATGAAGGTAAGGGGTCATGTCTTAGTTTCAATACTTGGTAAGCCAATAAGGGACAGACTGATTTTTTTGTTGGCTAGAAACAATGAAATGTAACAGGGGTGATGGCTCACCATCAGTGCTCTAAATACTTTATGCCAATGTGCGCAGCCTTATTCCAAAAAGAGACAACGTAAGTGCTACAATTAATGACACGGATGCGGATGTAATTCTGTTGACTGAAACCTGGCTATCCGACGAAATTGCATCGTGTAAGCTTTGTCAGTGCCAGAAAACATTCACCATACATCGTTATGATCACTTTGAGAGAACGGGTGGTGGTGTGCTCATTGCCGTGAACGAATGTTTTCAATGTTCGCTCTTGAAAATCCCATGCAATTTAGAAATAGTGTGGTCCTGCGTAATCATTTGTGTCCAGAAGATGGTTTTTGGCATTTGCTACCACCCGCCTAATTCTATCGGCTCTTTCTGCGAGGAACTTGATGATTGCCCAAGCCATATCTTGACACTGTTTACCGGTATTCCAGTTTTCCTTCTAGGTGATTTTAATTTTCCTTCAATCCGGTGGTCTCATTCATGCCCGTTTGCGGAGCCTGCTTCAGCTGAAACTAGTTGCTTTCTAACCACGTGCTTAGATTTCAATCTATCACAACTTGTCAGTCTTCCTACTCGTGTTACTTCCACCACATCATCCTCACTACACTTGATACTGACGTCATCACCTGATATTACACCTAAAATAACTCACTTGCCCACACTCAGTGACCATGAGGTACTGCATTTTTGAATCTCTGTACTGATGACTAAAAGGATCAAGTGCTTTAAACTTATAAAAGATTATAATAAAGCTAATTTCGACGCTCTAAACACTGTGCTTGCTACCTTCCTCGACAGCTTTTGTCCTTGGTACAGAGACGCTTCAGTTACAAAATTATGGGCGTGTTTAAAAAACAAAATGTGGCACCTGATAAAAGAAGACAACCCTGTAAGGAAGGTGTATCAGTCATCTAACGCGCCGTCGTACACAGACACATGAATCGGCTATCTAACAAAAAAGGTAGGCTATTTTGTGCTGCAAAGAAATTGGTATCTGCTGATAAGTGGTCCGCTTATGCCGCCCCAGCAAAAGCATACTCCAGTGCTTTGAGGGAAACCAAAAATAATTTCGATAACACCACACTTCCGTCGCTACTCAAAACTAACCCAAAACAATTTTAGAATGTTGTGAAAACCCGCGATGATCGAACTCTAACTCTTACTCATGAATCAGGTGAGGCAATCCCAAGCAGCCCGTCTGCTTCTGTACTTGACATCGTTCTTCCCGTTCATTTTGCCCCACTCAGTTTGGCATCTACCCGCTCTTTACTGCACCTAGCTACCTACCAATAGAATCCATTTTTCTCGACTCTTCTGGTATCAGCTCCATTATTAAAAACTTAAAACGATCATCCTCGTTTAGCATCGATTGTGTCACGTCGAAATTTCTACAGGTGACTGCCGAATATAGTTCCATTATACTGAACCTTATTTTCACGAAATCGCTCAACAACAACTCCTTACCCAGAGATTGGAAGATAGGCAAGGTGGTTCCACTTCACAAATCCGGTGATTTTCACAACCCTCATAACTATTGACCTATTTCCTTGACATCAATACCTGTAAAATCTTTGAACACGTCATTTTCTCACAAATAGTGCATTTTTCAGAATCAAATAAGTTCTTTCATAGTAATCAACATGGGTTCCTTAAGTCCTTCTCATGCGAAACGCAAATACTGACATTTTGCAATGATCTGCACGCATTTTTAGACGCCGGCTTTATAGTAGCGTGTAAATTTTTAGATTTAGCCAAGGTTTTGACAGAGTTAACCACCACTTACTCTTACTAAAACTCGGCCAACTAAATATTAATCTCTTGGTCTTTATTGGATTCGAGGGTTTCTTTCTAACCGAACGCAATATGTGAGCATTAACGATACTGACTCTCCTGAATTACCGGTGTGTTCAGGCGTACCCCAAGGCTTTGTTTTAGCACCCTTACTTTTTTTTAATTTACACCAATGACCTTCCTAACCAAATTGCAAGTACGATTTGTCGGTTCGCCGATGATTGTGTCATATAGCGCGTAATTGAAAGCTCTAACGATACGTTAACACTCCAACTTGATTTAAATAACACTTTAACATGTTTTAAGCTTTGGCTAATGGAAGTTAACACGTCGAAATGCAAAACAATTAGAATTTCACGTAATCAGTCGGCCTGCCCTTCTTGCTTACTTAACAACACTCTCCTTGATGAAGTACTGTGCTATAAATACCTCGGCGTGCATATTACTAACAATCTGTCTCTGAAAAAACACATCGAACACATAACGTCGAAATTTAACCGCATGTTTGGTTATATTAAACGAATTTTTTTTTCTTCAACTCCACCAAAAACTAAAACAACAACTTAACATCACCCATGTTAGATGTAACCTTGAATATGCATGCTCGATATGGGACCCTGGTCATGCTACTCTGAAAAAAAAACATAATCGAAAATTTTCAAAATTGAGCGGCCGATTTCATCCTTAACAATTACCATAAATCTGATGCCATGGAGGCGGAAATGTTGTAGGCCCGTGTACTCAGATATGGGTGCATGTTAAAGAACCCCAGGTGGTCAAAATTTCCACAGCCCTCCACTACGGCGTCTCTCATAAACAAATAGTGGTTTTGGGAGGTTAAACCCCACAAAATCAATCAATCAAAATCAATAAATCTGATGCCCGTGTCCTCAGATTTGTGTGCACGTTAAACAACCCCAGGTGAATGAAATTTCCGGAGCCCTCCACTACGGCGTCTCTCATAATCATATGGTGGTTTTGGGACGTTAAACTCCACAATCTCATCAATCAACCATAAATCTGCTAGCGTCACTATTATGAAACTAACACTTGGCCATCCTCTTCTTTCTTCTCGTAAGAAGTTAGCTCGTCTTTTCCTCTTTCACAAGATCTACTATCATTACCATGAGCTCAAGTCCCAATACATTACACCAGCATCTTATATCTCCCCACGTGTCTATCATCCTTGCAAAGTTCATGTACCTTCACAGTGCACAGCCTGCTACTCATATTCATTCTTGCCGAAAACATGTCACGAGTGGAATCGGCTGAATGCGTCACTTGTCGCTATCAGAGACACAGGTAGTTTCCGTAAAGCACTAAGAAACGCGTTATAAGCCTTTACCAAGCTTCTCTCCTACTGCAGTTGCGATTTATTGTTTGATTGCCACTTACTTTTTACACGTCTTTTTTGTTGTTAGTTTTTTGATTTGTAACTTTGTATGCATTTTTTGTCATTCTAGTAATATGTTGTGTTTTATTTCCTCTTCCTGAATCACTACTTTTGTATCTATTTATGAACATAAGCACATAATTCGTTTTTCTGTGTTATATTATCAACTGCCATCCTCTGTTTATCACAGCTTTATTATGTTGAGTCATATTAGCAGATGTGTAAATATACTTTATTTTTTACTATTTGTGCTCGTTTACGTACCATCTTATATTTTTCTTCCGTTACAATACTGTTTTTTGCTTTATATTTCATTGTAAAGTACATATTTTTTGCATGCATCGATGTACCTTAGCCCCTCCCCTCTATAATGCTTCTTGTAAGCCCTAAGGATATTATTAAATAATTAAACAAATAAATAAATTCATAAAAAACAAAGAAAAGTAGGAAATACAATAATTCCGATGTAAATGTGAGCGAAAGTATAATTAACTTCCCGCTTCACTTCCTCACACTTTTATCACTGAAATTAACAATCACTATATTGTCATTGGTTTTTCTTCTCAGAAGTATTGTTTAGGCAAGGCTAAAATAAGGTATGACATACTCAAATGCCCCACACACATGGACGGGAAAACAAACAATCCGTGGTGCGTCACAGCCCTACTAAAAAATACAAGTTCTTCGCATAGCCAACCCCAAATTTATTTCTTGAGATGCTACATGGAATTTTGTGACGCCGGACACACAATAGCAAATCTGTAAAGATTCGTGGCACTTTTCAGGCCGCAATGTTGAACATCTGCGCAAGTTTCATCGACGATATTGACTTAAGTATTCAGCCAAGCTTAATAGTTTTTTTGTGTGTGAAACACCCTATGCTACGAGCCTGTCTTCGTGCGGAAGAGAGAGACAGAAGGGACCTCGCGGTTAGTTTTTGGCTATAACGCGACAAGTTTGCCAAAACACGATTACATGGTAGAATTCAAAATAGAAATAATCAGCAGAAAACATAGACAAGGAAAAATACATCTCCCGATGAAGGGAACTATGTGTAGATGTGAAGCAGTGGCCACTGACGTTTACACTGGCGGTGGCGCTGATGCTGGCGCTCATCGCAGCGTTCACAAGAGGGAAACCTGGGGATGCACGAAACACGCAGTAATGCACCAGTGTTTCCAACTAGAGCGTGCCAATTGCTGCTATTGGGCAATCAGAGACTCAAGACTCCGATTGTACATAGGGACCCGCAGTTTGCTTTTAGCTAACGTCAAACTGCGAATTTTCGTCGTTCAACAACACACCGAAAAAAATCACCCACCAGTCCTACCTTGGAGGTCAATATTCAGTGCCTATGTCTTCTGTGTGGCGAGTGAACATTTGTGCAGCGCGAGAACCTCGTTCTTTCAGTGAAGAAGCTAATGAACGCTGCCTACTTCAGCGTTGTGGGGCGATTAATGGGGAGCGTTGGAGAGAAGGGGTGGGAATAGCGCATGAGTAACATAACCTAGACATTTAAGGCCAGAAGGCTGCCGCCATCACGCCACGAAGCAGCGGCTGCGGCTGTTCGGCCCCAAGTAGTGAACAAACTGCCTGAAAAATGTTTTTCAGGCGGTTTCTATACCTCAATGCAAGAATTTTGGTCTGTCTGTATGTCAAGCGAAATGGCTAATGTACGACCACATCCACTGGGCCTACCAATATTTCTCAGGTTTTGGAGTTCATACTG